TCTACTCATCACACTCCTAACACCTGTCTATAAATGCGCTATCTTCCGCTTGAATCTGTTGCAAACATTCTAATTCTAATTCTGTTTTTTTATCCAAATGGGCAACCAAAGGATAGTAACCAAAACCGGCGAAGGAAAGTGCATGGTTAAACGTTGTACAAACTAAAACGGAACTGTGTCGCTGTCTGTGACCAAATAGCAAACTGGTAGGTTTAGTGGGATTCGAGCACACGTTCAGGAAACTACCAACAGCAGCATCGCTTCAGATATTGGTGGCAAAATAAACACGTTCATTTACGGTCAAATAAAACGTATTAATACAATACACATTATTATGAACTTTGGATTTAGAACGCACCGGTCTGAATAGAAGCATAATGGTCATACACAGTACATTCTATACCGGGAAAGCGAATGAATGGAGGTTGTTATGCTCAACAACAACAGTAGGGTATATTCAACTGGATTCCGGGAGGCGTACAGTTTCCGTACAGATTGCCGGAATTTTGAGCAGTTTGGCCGCGGTCCGCCAATGGAATTGCAAATGCATTTTCAATGATACATGTTGTGACAATTTACGTCCGCAACCGGGGATCGGGCACAGGGTCATTTGTCGTCCCTCTGTGGTTCCCGCGGTTCCTGTTGCTCGCATGTGCGGACAGTTCGAGCCCAACTGAGCACCGTAATGAGCACATTCCGGTCGATCGCATTTTGACCGAGTCATTTGTTTGATGTGAGCGTTCTGGTGCTGTAGAATGTCATTTTGTCGTCGACATATTCGTTCACAGCCCGGATAGGAACAAGCATAAAGACCATTTTCCAATCGTTGTACGGGGAGATGTAGTAATTTTGGTGATGTAGATGCGGTTCTGTTCAAGGGGGCGATGACGGATTTCGTACAAGGTGACGATGACAGTGACGGCGAATCGGGTTCGGCGCGTGTGGGAACAGGGTTCGAGGATATTGAAGAAGAGGAGGAATTGGGGGCGGTTACTGTTTGTGTTGTTGTCTGTCGCGCCAATGGGGACCGAGATCTGGATCGAGTGCGACTGGTGAACGACTTCAAACTGGAATCCCCAGAAGGTGTTACCAAAACTCCCTGAGGTGGTATTATCACATATGTCAGTGGTTGTAATTGTACCGTCTGGTATACGGCTTGTGTAGCAAGCTCCCGTAAGGGATCAGAGCCTGAGAGTAAAAGAAACTGGTTCATCATGCGATTATGATATGTCACGACTGATTATATGAAAGACAGAGTGAGAGGAAGAGAGAGAGAAACAGTCTCACTTCATTAAACCACAAATTTGTAACCCACATTTGATTCATCGATTAATCAGCACAAATCGACACGTGCATTTGACGAATGATATGATTGTGTGAGTTGAATGGACAGTGCAGACAGACGTGTGAAGGCGGATTGGATCGAGGCAACATGTTCATATTGACCGTCACCCGCTCTGACATGTGCACGATGACGATGACGGAGGTGTTGACGATGACGATTATGCTGTTCAATTAGGAGCTCGTATGACTCTGTATACGTGTCTGTCCACCAAAAACGTACTACACAGCCGGCTGCGCTCATAGGCCAAATGATCCAGTGAGACAGAGCGAGAGAGAGAGAGAGAGAAAGAGCGANCGATTGACAGACAGGTCATCAAGCTGACCATGAAGCGGGTCGATAGTGATTATACACTAAACCCCTGCGCGCACGCACGTGTGCGGGCCAACTTATGTGCGAGCAGCCTCCCAGTGCTGTCTCTATCTGTCTATCAGACCTAAAGACAACCAACAGACACTGGTCGTTCTCGTGTCCGCCCGACAACGTGAGATTCACGACCTGGTGTTCACCCCTTCGTGAAACATCAGCAGGTTGAGATGGCTCCTACAGGAATTCTAAACCCGGCTGACCTCAATCTATTTTAACAGTTGGTGTTATATCTAAGGAAGTTTCCACGACTGTCAAAGTAACATTTTACCGGGTAGGAAGGATGAGATACTAAATGAGCGATATCAGCCTGGTTTCTCGTACACCTTTAGGCAAAAAATGTTTAAAATCAAAGCTTTCAATGATTTTCCGAACCACACAAATGTTTTCACTCATTCCCTTCGAGAGATCAGTTAGGAAGTTGAAGTCAAACCATCGATCCTCATACAACTATTCTAATGGCCTAGTTCTCAAAGCATAGTACGATCGATGTCGGTTAGTGAACGGTGCAGCCATTGTCAGCCATAAATAGCTGCTCGTTCTTATTCTGCGTGTGGGGGTATCCACGGTGAGTTGACCACAACAAAAAACCAGTCATTCTGATAGTTTTGCACCGATGCAAAAGAAAATATCTGATACGTTTTTTTTTCAAATGCGGTATTGGTATTAGAGATGGAAACAATTTCATTTTGTGTGTGTGGAATTAGACTCGGTATCCGTTAGGACAAACAAATTGCTCATCGACTTTCGTGCCTCCTCATCCACCCACACTACCATTTTGATCTACATTATTTGTCAAACCAGAACTTCTGGCTTTCAACATGTGAGACATGTGCAACGTGTGAACAAATATTGAAACCAATCGGTATATTCCATAATCGCTCAGGAACCAAAACAACCAGGATCATCAAATGTGACATGAGAATGACACAGATCATCATTAATCAAGCGAGCATTTCACAAGTCACCACGCAACACGAATGAGTGAGTCATAATTCAGTTGGGTTTGTAGATATCCATTTATATAATAATTTACAAAGCCCTATATTCCCGTCTCACAAGGTACGTGAACCACAATCACGAAGATTAGGTATCACAAACCAGTTGTTCATGGATCCGCCATCGGGCGCGAATCAATGCTTCGGGTGACTGTAATGATTGTAGTAGTAGTAGTTGTAGTAGTAGTAGTAGTAGTTGTAGTAGTAGTTGTTGTTACACGCACGAAATTGGGAACGCCAACCACGCAATATGAATCACAGGACCCGAATCAATAATCAGCTATCACGGACTGGATCGTAGAAGCACTGGACCGCAATGGTACGGGTTCGCAATGTCCCACGAGATCGAGACGCGAGGACTAGCACTACGTAGTCCTCTTATTAAAAGAAATAAGGGCGATTAAATGATATATAAAAAAGAAGATTATTGGTTATCTAGGCTTTTACCAATCGGATTCCAATACTGCTTGCATAATCTTGCTTCTGTCTTCACTGTCTTGGATTGGCTGACACGATCTGCTTGTGGCGTGTAGTCGGATGCCGTACGTGTGTCACTGACGTCAGCATTCAAATTTGATTGATCGCATGTGTCCGAAAACTGTGACACGCCGCTCCAGGGTAGTCGTCATCTCGTAGACATAAATTACCACAGTGACCCGCAATCGCCTAACTCGATCAATGAAAACGGATTTCGACAACGGGTAGCGGATCAAGCAGCTCTCACACATGCCTCAATCACATACATCAAATCAGATGCTCCGGTATCGCTAGTTCACTTGTTTTTACTTACATACTCTAGTATTGATAGCACGCATTGACTAAGGTTAATTTAAGCTTTTCAAATTGCAAGTATGACGAGGAAATGAGGTTAGCGAATTTTAGATATAGATTTTCGAATTCCCCTTCTAAATCAAGTTGCTTAGATCTGCTATTAGGACAAAAACCTTTGGTTCTATAGACAATACTTCTAACAACATTTTTTCCAGATTAGCGGATTATGAACGTACTGCTCAGAGTTGGCAGGATGCTCAACCACGGGCTTGACATGGTTAAATCGCTGACGCAGCGTGGTTTGGATACGTTCGAATTGCTTAGCTACTGGACATAATCCTCGAGAATGTTTCTCTCAATCGGCGAAAGATTATCCAACACACATGCGGAAGTCACACAATTCCGTTCTAAATCCCTCAAGATGATTACACCACGTTTCACCTCTGCGAAATGCAATGGGATCTTTGGCTCGTTTGAATTGTCTGATTAGTCCCACAGAACACATTTCAATTACAAGAGAAAAGACCATATGGCTATACCGCACGATTTATGTCCGGGACGATTTCGCTGCATCTCAACATGGTGCATACTGCAGAAAACACAGTGTTTATATAGGGCTTAAGCATGGCAACAAAGTAAAGCAAAATACATTAAAAACAGACAAAACATAAAGGAGGGAGGGGTAAAAGGACCATAATCACCAGGGTAGGGAGAGACCAACATAAAGTTCTTTTTGCTGACACAGAGGGGGCTTCCATATGGTCTTTTGAAATTATTCTCGGGAAAGGCTTGTTTCAGTTTTCTCTAACCAATATTCCCGCTTGAACAATATTCCATCGTTTACCAACAGCACGTGAACTGTGCACGCGGGAAAATCTGGTCGAGGTTGCATCGACCAAACATTACTATCTTCCTCGATCTGAAACAGACACTTCACTCAGTCAACCGCTTTGAACACTGGCACTGCCTCGATCTGAAAGGTGTGCAGCTTCTGGACTACAAACCATAGACCGATTGCACCAACCAGTCAGAAGCTGAACAACGCCAGAAATACTAGCACGTTATTGGCACAGGCTTGGGTGACCAAT